CTGGGGAACACCACTAGTGACTGGCACACGCCCGTGTGCCTGTCATAAAGCAACTCCCTGCTTCCACAGGGATTAAAAATCACATTCTATGTCATGTTGCCCTGTGGTTTTGACTTTTCTTGAGTTAAAACTGGGGCTTGGGAGAATTAGGGGTCGATCTATTCTGTTTTCAAAGGGAGGAGTTCAGGGAAGGCTTGGGATTTTCCTAGCAGCACTCTGGATGTTTCTTTCATTAGCCAGGCTCTTTTGGGCTGCCAAAATAACAGTGCAAATGTCATTTTAGGTGAAAGATCAAACTTTTAATAAGGAAGAAAAGTTGTTTCGAAGTTTAGAGAAGACTGTGAAACTGTGTGTGAAGAACATTTCGCTCTCTTCGCAACATTTACAGGTGAGTACAAGCCTTTTTGCAATCTGTGGCCACACACCCTGTCCATAACCAGTTTAACATATATTTCTGCCACCAGTTAGGCAACACCAAAGTGTTTATAAGCAGGCCTGACTACATCACAATATTAAATAAGTGAGCTGTGCTGCTGCTGCATTGCTGAGCCCATGGCAAATAAAGTTTTGAAGGCCACACTTCTGCATTTTTTCCCTGACAGAAGCAGGCTCTGTGGAGACCCACAGGTGCAGGGCAGAGAAAGTGCTGTGGGGTGGCACAGTTAGGACTTCCAATCACTGAGAGAAGCTGGCATGCTCATCTACTGCAGTGGAGCACCAACTGCTTCTCATTAAAAATAGAGGAACTGAGTTGCAGCCACATGAATTAAAATGTCCTAAAGTACATATTTTGGATGTGAGGACTCTTTCTTTTTTCCTGTTGCTAGATTGGGTTGAGGGTTAGCATTAGATGTCCAAAGTGATGAAGTGTAATCATCTTTGCTTCAATTCTCTCCAAAGATGAGGGTTGTCTTGTCACTTACCACCTCTCCCTCTTACGGGCTACTTGACAAGTTTGTAGATGGCATGAGGCCTGGCAAAGTGCAAGTGAGCCCTAACCAGATACAAAGGTGTTTGAGAGGCAGGTAAGATCAATAGCCATCTGGCTGGGGCTCTCAGCACAGCAGGCAGAGGAGGGTCAGTGAGCTCAGCTGACAGGGGTTGTTGCCTGGATGAAGCTGTCAGTGCCTTATCCAAACAGATGTGCACTTCATTAAGATTAAAGATCTGAGTACATGCAATACACCACTAGAGTCCTACCTAGTCCCCCCAAAAGAGGCTTTTGAGGATGCATGGGTCTTGAGCTGGCTTCTTGCTGAGGCAGCAGGCAGAGGAGGGTCAGTGAGCTCAGCTGACAGGGGTTGTTGCCTGGATGAAGCTGTCAGTGCCTTATCCAAACAGATGTGCACTTCATTAAGATTAAAGATCTGAGTACATGCAATACACCACTAGAGTCCTACCTAGTCCCCCCAAAAGAGGCTTTTGAGGATGCATGGGTCTTGAGCTGGCTTCTTGCTGAGGAGTAGCTGATTTCCAGTGGGACATTGATTAGTTTAGGGCACAGGGTTTTTTTCAGTTGAACATTAACAACTTGATTCTTAAGTAGTTTACATTGAAAATAGACAAACCACAGGAAAATATTATCACAGTAAATAACCCCACAATGGCTGGAAACTGCACAGCAGCTGCACAGGTGTCAGAGTTGGAAAATATTTCTATCAGTATTATTGCAGTTATCTGCATGAACGAATGCAGTATATTAAAACAGATTGTAATAGTGTTTCATCTTCCTGCTATCTTCTTGTTTAGGATTCTATACATCTGGCTGCCCAGAATATAATTGGGCTTCAGGAAATCTTGCAAGATAAAGATGACAATGTCAATGACTGTTTGAAAAAACGGAACAATGCTGCAAATTTATGTGAAGACCTTGTAAGTTTATGCAATGTTCACTGTTACCCAGGTATCGGTATGTGTGAGAAAACAGGTGTATGTGAGGAAGACTAGGACAGAAAAGAGCAAGAAAACTCACCTTAGGAATCCATTGAGAAAGATGAGTGGTTTTTTTGGTTGCGTTTCTGTAAGAAATTAGATAGCATTGTGTTTTCCCTAGAACTAAAGAAAACTTTGCAAGCTAAATTCCTGGTTTTATACTAAAATCTTCGTGCTAAATGTGCATGTTTCATCTGAACTTCAGACAGGAGCAGCAGGTCTTTGCCATGCTACTTTAGTTACCAGCACTTGCAGTTTTAGAGTGACTTTTGTGATCTTTATTGTGCTCATGTACTGTTAGCTCCTGGAATCACAGGTCTGTGAAAATCACAGATTTATTACCTTTTCAAGTAAGTTATTATTTTTAGAGTCATAGAGTCATAGAACCGTTTAGGTTGAAAAAGACCTCTAAGATCATCAAGTCCAGATATTAACATTGTGCTGCCAAATCCTTCATATAGGGAAATAATAAAAAATCTGAATATAGCCTATAGTAATTAATAAAGTAATTTTAAAAAATGGTTATAGTTTTTCAACTAGTCTTTTGCTTTCAGAATTCAAATTAACTCTAGTGCCTGGCTCTAATAAGATAGCTAAAATATCTCTTCAAAATGGGACAGGCTGCTGCTCCAAACAGATGCTCAAGGTGGAAAAATTCAGAGGTGGGGGTTTTCTAACACTTTCCTAGCTTTGTGCAGACTAAAATATAGCCATTCAATCCTTTCCAAAACACTGAAAATGGAGTCTGCCAAGAAACAGAAGGATCTTTGGCAGACCACAACCTCCAGGATAATGACAAGGAAGTAAGATGATGTATTTCTTTTCCTTTGAAATTCCTACATTTGAAAAGCACCTCTTTAATGAATCTCAATAACCAAGAAGATATTTTCAATGTCTTTACAATGTATGAGTACTCCTCTGTCATTGCAGTGGTGAATGTGTCCAGTGTGGAGCTGTCCCCATATTCAGAAACATAAAAGAAAAGTAGAATCAATTCCACAATAGATGAAACAGAATACTTCTTTTTAGAAAAAAATTGTAACACCTATTGGCCCATGACCCAGCTGTTCTGGAGGTCTGTGTAATTAAATAAACCCTCCAACAACTTAATCTTACTTGCTTTAACTGTGGACGTTGTTATTAACCATGTTAATTTCTACTTATTATCTGTTCATGTCTGTGTCTTGGATTTACAAGATTACAAGGATTCTCTATCCTATGTATAAGTTTTTTGAAAAAAGCCTTTTGTCTTGATATTGCACAATGAGTAGATGCTTTCAGTGGACAACCCATGGTGTTCTTCACATATTTGCCTGAAAGGTTGTTATCAAGGGAGATCTCAGCAATGGGCTTGGGTTAATTTTTTTTTCCCTTTGTGCATTTGTCAATAATTAATACCTTCCTCTCTCATTAGATTTTAGGGAAAATTTTAGGGTGGATATCTCTTCTCTTCCAGAAATCAGGCCCAGCAGTTTGGAAAAATGTTTTCTCAATGCATTAAAAATTGGTTCACTAAACACAGCCCAGTTTTTCAGGTGGAACTAAAGTAGGAGCTGTCTAGCCAGTGTACATAATCTTGGCCTTGGGCAAGCAATTCTGGAGCTAAAATGGATCTGTCCTCAACTGTGATATGTTTTGGAGGGTACAGAGACAGATTTTTTATTCTTGCATTCAACCCAACAACTTAATTCGCATAGAATGTCCAAGAATTTTAATATGATGATGTTTCACTCACTACAAGCCTGTGCTGTATTTTAACAAGTGACTTACAAAAATAAATTTGATTTCATGCCATATTAATCCCTTGAGACAATTAGAGACTAATGGAAAAGTCTGAGCAAGACTGGGTTTTTTTACCAGGTGTCTAATTTTGTTGATTACTAGAGATAAAACCAACAAGCATAACCTAATTTAATCAAATCAAGTGATTGTTTGTGTTTGCTTA